GAAATTAAGACATTTTCAGCCTTGCCAATCACTGAAGAAATGTTCATTAATATAATAATAATATATAATTTAAACCTGTCAGATTGAGATATATATTAAAACATGTATATACATATGATTATATTCACATATTATCTCTCTGGGGTGAATCATCTTAAGACGTTAACAGTATTTGCTTCTATGGAGGGCAACCAGGGGACAAGGGTGAGATGAACATGTACTTTTTATAGCATACTATAGTGTATGTTTAAAATTTTTAACCATATGTGTATCACTTTTAGAATAAATAATTATTTTAAAATATAAGTTGAAGCCATAAAAATAAAATAGGTTACTTAATGTCAACACAGCTATTTATTAATAGAAGATATTTCATTCAAGCCCAGGGTTATACAATTTGGACAAAAGTGCATAGATATATTTTTAACATTAATTTGCATTATTGTTTCTAAACTTTTTGTTAATAAATCCAACATGACAAGGATACTTTGTATAAGGGCTACCTCTTAAGGAAGATCCCTGTGAACACTTGTTGGGAAATTGATATTTTTACCGTATTTGCACTATATTCTTTTTGTACTTTAACTAATAGCGATAGGAAGCAACTTGTGACACTTTCATCTTTAACAAGCATCTCTAATAGATCTGAGGTTTCTTTTTTTTTAAGTGTTCTTTTTTAAAGCTTTCTTAAAAAAGCCTTTTCTTCATCGGTAAAATTAGTGCTGTGTGTGTGAATAAGTGTGTGTAATCATTCCCCAAGCTATAGACTATCAAACTGCAAAACCTAAATTAAGAGTAAAAATATATCTTGGTGTTCTATTCGGCTGCAGTGAGCTAAGGAACTCAAGGAATTGATCTCTGGAACATTATAGAGAACATCTGTAGGAATTCAACCAGGAGAATTTACTTTACTTTTCTTTCTTTCTTCTTCTTCTTCTTCTTTTTCTTCTTTTAAATCACAGAATCCACTTACTAAAATTGTGCCTCACAGAGCATTGACCTTTAGACTATAATGGCTTCCTTGGGGCCATTACAACTTACAGGGCAAACACCTTCCAATCTTTCAACCTACAAGTAAAGGTTACAAAGTTTTGGAGTACAGAGAACCTAACTCTTTACTTGTAAATTCACTTTCCCCACCAACATCCAAAACCATTAGCCCACTTTGAGGACTTTTAGGGTATGAAATGACATTTTTAAAAATCAAATTTATCTTTGAGTGGAAAGGGGGCTTTTTAACAAGTATAATATCCCGGATAATAGGTTTGACTGAAACCTGAAGGCCACCAAGTAAAACCTCCTGCTCCAATCAGGATTGCTGGACTGTTTCTAGCTGAATGTGTAGGAAGAGAAGACTGGAGGACTAGGTTTTATTTGGTGTAATCTGTCTTTCTCTATAAAAATAGACATCAAAATGTAAAGTAATTAAGTAGTGAGATGATCTTTTTCTTTTTTTTCTTTTTCTGTTTTTCTCTTTTTGCTTATAGTTTCTAAAGTTTAAGTCATAAACATATATTCGTTATGTTTAAAGTTTAAATGCAACATTGATTGTAAAATTTGGAAAATACAAACACAAATAAGGATGAAAAATACAATCACCATATACATTTTGGTATTTCTCCTATCAGTAAAAATTATACTGTATAACATACAAACATCTATATTGTGATTAGGTTACTCAACAAACACTTTAAAAATTTCCAATATCAGTGGCATAAAATGGATATACGGTTTTTCTCATCTCATGTTAAAATCCAGACATGGGGAGTCTGGGGCTAGATAGCAGCTCTGTTCCAGGAATTCCTCAGGAACTTGGATCCCTTCCACCCTCTGGTTCCTCTGTACATGGCTCCGTTCCCAAGGTCACTTGGGGATCCAAAATAGGAGCTACATCCATCACTCACATTCTAGCCAGCAGGGTCAAGGAAAGAAAAGAAAAGAACATGGCTCTTCCTTTTAGGAAGGATTCCTAAAGTTAAACGTGCCATTTCCATTTACTTGGTAATGCCCAGAACACAGTCACATGAGTCCACATCCTTTTGCAAGGAGGGCTGGGAAATAGAATGAAATAGAATGTTTTTTGCGGGGTGGATGGTATGGCCAACTGAAAATCCCATGTTAAGTTTTCTGCTTGCTAAATTCCATTGCTTCTTTCAATGGTGCACATTCTCATACTACTCCTAACAGGGAGGTCAAGTTTTGAGACTTTATCTCTGCTCTACCCTGATTTATGAAATCGTGAGATGAAGATCAGCCTTAAGACAAAAGTTGAGATATAGTGGGAAAAATTTTAGAGTAAAAAATTATCAAAATTGACTCAAAATGAAATAGAAAATAATAACTTCTAAAAAGCTTAATTTATCATTGCCTATCTGTCGCCAGCTTTCCTACATCCAAGAAAAGTCATTCAGTCCAAACAGGTAATTTTAGCAAACTCTTAGATTTTAAATAATCTCTATTTTATACAAACTGTCTCAGAGACTAGAAAAAGAGGAAAATTAATTTACTTGTTTTATGAGGCTAGTAAAACCTCTGTACTAGAACTTGTTAAAGAGAGCATGACAAAATAAAATCAGAGTTGAAAAGCAGCTATGAATTTAGCTTAAGCTGAAAGGTAATAATGAATTTAGCTTGAGCTAAACAGAAAAAAATTGTGAGTGTTTTTTTTTACTGGATTTATACTGAATTTATAGGTTAATCTGGGTGGGTTTCTGTTTATGTATAGGGAAGACAAGTATTGACCAGTTTGAATTTTGGCTGGAAGTTTTTCATTTTTCATTCAATTTTTTCTTCTCCACTATTTTAGAAGTTAACCATTCTGCTTCTATTCATTTAATGTTTACACTTGGTGTTTTAACCTAGACACTTAACAAAGTCTAATGTCAATGAGTATATTTATCCTTTTAACTAACAGTACATAAAACTGAGGATGCTTTATCCATGACCCCCTCATTATAAATGATTCTTGTGCTCGCTTCGGCAGCACATGTACTAAAATTGGAATGATACAAAGATTAGCATGGCCCCTGCGCAAGGATGACATGCAAATTTGTGAAGCGTTCCAGAATCAATGGATCAATCAATCAATAATTCTTGGCAAGAATTTTAGGGTGTTTTCCCATAAATTAGATGCAATTATTTGTAATGTCATTTGATTAGTTTTATAAGCATATTAAATAACATATTTCTTATGACATTTGCACCTCAGACTTTCTATTTGAGGTATTTTTTTTTCCCTGCTTGAAATATGTTCTTCAGATTTTTCTTTGTTGTTGGTCTATTAGTGGTGTATTTTCTCAGGGACTGGGTGAAATATCTTTGATTTCTTCATCTTATCGAAAGACAGTTTTGTTGGTATACAGTTTCAGGATGGACTGCTGATTCTTTTAACACATTTTGCTATTCTGCTTTATTCTGCTTCCACAATTGTTTTTGAGAAGTCAGCTCTCCGTGTTAATGCTGTTTTTGTATGTGATCTATCTTTTCTCCCAGGCTTTCTGCATATCTTATTTGTCTCTTTTTGTTTGTTTGAAAATATTAAACATAATTATTTTATATTCTGTGTTTGATAATATTAACATCTTAAATCTTTCTGCATCTATTCTGTGTTTTTCTGCTAGATTTTACCCATTCTTGAATGGTTTATAATTTTTACCATGAGTAACTTGTTTTCTTTTGAACTCTGAGTGATAATCCTCTGAACTGGGGTTGAAATTAAGTTCCTCAAGAGAGGGTTTGCATCTCTTTCTGACATACCACCCTAAATTTAATTTCTTAGCTTTGCTTGTTATTCTTTGTGGTTTTGGAGAGAGCTTGGTTGTTGTTATTTGTTGTTGTTTTGCTTTATTTATTTGGGTGTTTTTCATTTGGCCCATACACTTTCTTATAACATAAATGCATAACAAAAATCGAAGTAAGGCACACAGTGGCTAGAAGTTCTCAAGAGAGATTATTTTTCTCTCTCCACTCAATGCCAGATTCAAGACATGCCTTTTTTTTCCCCCCTTCATATCTGGAGAGGTTTTGTTTATAATGTCCCCTTGTATTAAGGGTGTGGCCCTTGAGGAAGCATCTTTTTGTGGAGCTCTCCTGTTGGACCCCACTAAGGGCTGGCCTCAGGTTTTTGTTTTTGTGTCCTGCGATCTTTTTTTTTTAGAGATTACAAAACAGAATTTTATTTAAATTTGTATACAGATAAAAATGTACCAAAATTTAAACAAAAATCTAATTCAAATTTTTTCCCACCACAAAAATGGACACTATGATAAAAAGCCACATTCCATTTAAATACATTTTTCCGTTTTTCTACCACAAACTGGTAAATTCCAGGGGGTGGGGAGTGGAGTATAAGGGTGAGGAGAGGAGACACTGATAGTCAATACAATTTGATCTTCAGTGTTGTCTCACCTTGAAAGGACTTAATTACAGAGATTTCTGTGAGAATCAGCATTCTTCACTTTCAACATTAAAATGGAAACTTCTGCTCCAAAATCACAAATAAGGCTTCTGGCTTCTAGTGTGAGGCAAATGGTAAAATACACGTATGGTATATTAATGCAGACCTTCCATTGTAAAACATATGCTGGAATTAGAAACTTGGAAAAACTGCTGCAGTGTGTAATAGCTATTTGCTTGACTGTCTTAGCTGTGCCTTTTTAGTAGTTAATATCTTAAATGTCATCTTATCTGAATTTTTTATGACCTGTGATTTGTTTTATTATATAGGATTAGATGTTCACCAAAATTTTTATAAATGAACCAGGGCCTGATTTCAAATTCTGTATATACACACATTATTTAGCCACATTGACTATTCTGCGAGGTCAGCAAAACACTGCCTACTGAGCGGGCTTGCCATGATAGAAAAGTATGAGAACACGGGACATTAGTTTTATATTTTTACTCTAAGTAAAATCAGATTTAGGCTGTCTAGATATCTTATTCAAGAAAATACAGATTTAAGATTTTTCATACGGTGATTCTTGTTCACGCCTTCCCCCTTATTTTCCCCCCAATGAGACAACCATTTCCTTCACAGTGATGAGAGAAGCAACCCTTCTTATGGAGAAATGGAATTCCTTCCCCAAGGGATCAGGATGAAGATGACACTTCTTGGACACACTGGCCACAGCCTTCCTGACCGCATCCTCCAGGTCAACAGGAGAAGTCATGGACAGTCCGCTGTTACTGAGTATGTTCTGAGCCTCTTGGACATTGGTTCCTTCAAGCTGGACCACCAGGGCACCTTGGGTTCTAGGTCCTGGCAGGCTTTGGTGATTCCATTGGCGAAGATGGCACAGTTGACAATACCACCAAAAATATTGACAAGGATCGCTTGAACGTTAGGGACAGCTGTGAGCAATTTGAATGCTTGATATACCTGAGTTTCCTTTACACTACCACCAAGATCCAAGAAGTTGACTGTCTTCCCAACATTAAGGAAAATGATGTCACAAGTAGCCATGGCGAGCCCAGCATCATTCACAAAGCAGGCAATGTTCCCATCCAGTCCTATAGATCACATCTGGCAGCTTCATTTTCAACGGGCTCATTCTCTGACTTGTCATCCATAGCGAATATATCCTTTTGTCGGCAATCTGCATTGTCATCAAAGTTTATCTTGGCATCAAAACAGACAACTCGTCCTTCTGGAGTTTCACCAAAGGGATTCACTTCCACCTGAGTAGCACCAACTTTCAGGAAGAGATTATACAGCTTCTTAATTTGATCTGCAGGCTGGTTTTTCAAAGGCCCAAGGAAGCCTAGATTCTCTGCCATCCGCTGAGCTTGGCTGTCCTTTATGCCTTCAAAAATGTCAATTTTCTCCTTAAAAGTAAGTTCTGGATTCGAAGCGGCCACCTCTTCAATGTGAACGCCCCTCTGGGGGCTGCCCACCAGTACGGAGCCATTGCAGGACCGGTCCATCAGAATCGCCAGGTAGGTTTCTCTGGAAATGTCCAAGTCTTCAGCAACCAACACCTTGTTAACTTTCACACATTCTTTTGGAGTTTGTTTGGTTGCTAGATTATATCCAATCATCGGTTTAGCCAGCTGTCCCACAACATTAGGATCTTTTGTTAAATGAACACCTCCTTTCAAAACGCTATTGAAGACACCTTTTCCTCTTCCTCCAGCTAAGATCTGGGCTTTTAAAACAATTTCTTTTGCATTTAGTTTCTTAGCGGCCTCAAGAGCTTCATTCGTAGTGTCTGCTACAAAGAATCTTTGAACTCTCACTCCATTGTCAGACATCAGTTTCTTGCTCTGGTATTCCTGCGGTTCAGCCATCTTCTGGAGGTTAATTGAGCTGCCTGGGAGCGGCTGTCGGGAACGCGGGCCGGAGCGCCAGGTCTCGCATAAGTTTCCCGGCGTGCGCTGCCGGGGGGACGCCATCTTAACCAGGAAGCCGGCGCTGGGAGTCGGAGTGAGCCGACAGGGGGCGGAGGAGGAGGAGGGGGGTCTTGTGGGTTTTTTTTTTTTTTTGAGAGAGTCTTGCTCTGTTGCCCAGGCTAGAGTGCTGTGGCGTCATCCTAGCTCGCAGCAACCTCAAACTCCTGGGCTCAAGCGATCCTTCTGCCTCAGCCTCCCGAGTAGCTGGGACTACAGGCATGCGCCACCATGCCCGGCTAATTTTTTTTTTTTTTATATATAGCTTTTTAGTTGTCCAGATCATTTCTTTCTATTTTTTAGTAGAAATGAGGACTCGCTCTTGCTCAGTCTGGTCTCGAACTACTGACCTTGAGCGATCCACCCGCCTCTGCCTCCCAGAGTGCTAGGATTACAGGCCTGAGCCACCGCGCCCGGCCGTCCTGCGGTCTTTATACCCATGAAAGCGAAGGCTCGAGGTATCCCAAGTGTATTAAAGAAGTGGCAGCTTTGAAATTTGCTTTCTTCCAAGGGTTCCCGCTTGCATTTGCTTTGGGGATATACGGATTCCCTATTTTCATGTTAGCTCAATGATTCATTTACAAGTAGCTCTAAAAAAATTTCCCAACCCTGCTTGTCTTGAGGTCTAATCTGCCATATTTCCAGAAGTGGAAGTTATTCTGTCTTTATTTAGTGCTTCTGCTTTAATTATGTTTGCTCTTTATCAAGCATATAAATTATATGTACATTCAGTCTCCATCCTCTGCCTCATTATCAACTGCTTTTTAAAATTTTCATTGTTTTTATTTTCGCCACTGTTTTATTAGAGCATAGTTTAGGCTTGTCCCATTACTCCTATCGTAATTCTTGGCAATTTTAATATCCACATAGAAGATCCTTGTAGTTCTCTGGATTCTCAGTTCCTTACTCTCTTCTCCTCTTTTCCTCTATCTTAGCCACTCACTCCCATGTTTGTATCTCAGACTTTGTCATTACCAATAACTGAAATTTCTCCAGCATCTCAATTTCAACATTCCACTCTGATCATGACTTCCCATCTTTCTAGCTTATTCCTTCTAGTATTCCAATTCTAATACTTCTTCCATTACTCTGGGATCCACATGCCATTGGTCATATGACCTTTTGACTATCTCTCATACCCAACCTTCCACCCCAGAGTCCTCACTTATTGTATGTATTTTAAAGTCATTACAACAAGGGAAAGATGGTTTTCCGTTTAACTCTCTCTAAACTTTAATTTGACTGAATGAATTGCATGTGGTTGTAGGAATTATAATTAGTGGGATGACTAGGTCTACATTTGATTATCACTAGTACTAGAATGTGTGTTCACTTAATAGTGAATAACTGAGCCTTCCTAATTCTGTGCTATAGTTATAAAAAGAAACCAGTGGTAAATGTTCTATCCCTCCTAGTGCATGCTGATAATACAAATATACCAAACACAGTTAGAATGATGGATTCCTAGGCTGGGCACAGTATTTCATGCCTGTAATCCCAGCACTTTGAGAGGCCAAGGCAGGAGGATCACTTGAGCCCAGGAGTGCAGGACCAGCCTAGGCAACGGAGCAAGACCCTGTCTCTACCAAAAAAGTTAAAAAATTAGCTGGGCATGGTGGCATGCACCTGTAATCCCACCTACTCTACTTGGGAGGCTAAGATAAGAGCATGAGCCCAGGAGTTTGAGGCTGCAGTGAGCTATGATGAGGTCACTGCACTCCAGCCTGGGTGACAAAGCAAAACCTCTTCTTCTCTTAAAAAAAAAAAAAAAAAAAAAGGATGAATTCCTAACTTTGCCACCTCAGGTGCTAAGGACACGTAAATGTAACTTGAGATATTGGGGCCACCACAGAGCTTTCTCCTTTCACTCAGGGAAAGTGAGTTTCCACATACTTGTCACCTCTCCATCTATAGCACATCTTTAATGTTTCCCATTTTATATTCCCTTCAGCTGAGTATGGAAATGGTTAGTTATTTAAATGGTTCCAAAGCTACTGTTAAGTGAAAATATTTAAACGTAGAACAGATGTTCAAATACCGGGGCAGTAAAGATATCATTTAGGGCAACTGAAAAGCAGATAAAAGGGTAGACGAGCTCAACTCCTTATGGTGAGCACCTGCCACCAAAGCAACTGCAGTGAGAAGAAGTGAAGGTTACAGCATCGAAGGTGTGGGAGGGTTTGCCATTTTGTGAGGGGACCAGACGTTCATCTAGAGAAAAGACCATGTGCCTCTGTTTCTGGTTGCCCTGTGATGTTTGCTGATGGGACAGGAGGAATCCCCAGAGCAGAGTTTTCCCAAATTGTCCCTCCGAGGTTGTAGCAGAGATCCAGTGGGTGGAGAAATGAGATCGTAGCCTTCCACCCCCATCTCCAGTGCTTCAAACTCAGCAGTTCTACAGATTTCATTCGAAACAATAAATATTTTGTCATATGAAACTTTACAAAATTATTCTCATTATCTTGAAAAATCGATGTAGAAATATAGCTATGAAAGTTCTAATTTTTTTACAGAAAGAGTAACAGGAAGGGGGATTTGCAACAAGTTTAGTAAATTCTAAACCTATAGTAAATAAAACAGCATATACTGGCTTAGAAGTAGACAGCTAGATCAATTGAATAAGGAGTGCACAAACATATTAAAATACATAGGAATTTATTATATGATAAGGTGTTATTTCAAATCAAATGTAAAATGATAGATTAATATAGGAGCCCTATTGCATAAATGCCAGAGGAGTTAATAATGTAAGTATAAAAAGTCAAATCCTATAAATACTTGAATAAAATATAGGCAAATATGTTTTAAACTTGAGGTAGAAAGGATTAGAAAGCTGATGAGGACACTAAACCCAGAAACCATAAAAAAAACCCCTCTTTATAATTTAAATTATGTAAGAGGTAAAAATAAGACATATGACAAAACTTTAAGATTGAAAGACAACATGCAAGGAACATATTTGGAATATATAGGCCAACAGAGGTTTGATACTCTTAACATATCAAGTACTACTAGTCCTAAAAAACAAAAATCCAAACAGAAATATATACTTTCAGACATTAACTGTACCTTACCAAAGAAATTTAAATAGCCAATAAATATATGGAAAAGAGTTAAACCTCATTAGTGATCAAAGGCATATGAATTTTTAAAAATTTGGTTGATAGTGCCTAGTTTTGTTAAACATGTATAATAAACAGTACTTTAATATACTCTGGATGGCTTTACAATTTGGGCACAACTTCTGTTGGGGAGCAATTAGTCAATATGTATCAAAAGTTAAAGTGCATATACCTTTTGACTCAGAAATTCTATTTCCAGGAGCTTATTCTAAGGAAATAATCAGACACATTTGAAAAAGAAATAGTAAAGATGTTCATTGTAGACCTATTTATAAAAAGGAGAAATTCAAAACAACCCATGTGCCACATATGGATTATCACCCAGTGTGTTAGTCAGGATAAGCTAGACTATTGCTGCAACAAACAACTTCTGAAATCATGAAGTTTTTCCACGTAAAAGTTTTTTTTTTTCCTTGCTCATACAAGGTCCATTCGGAGTCTGGTAACCTCCTCAGGGCAGCACCTTTTCCAGGCTATTTCCATCCCATAGCTGCAGCATTTCTCTGTATTGCCACTGTGGCAGGGCAGGGCTATGTAAAGGCTTGTCACTGCCTCTGCCTATATAAGTGGCATGCATCATTTCCACTTAGAGCTAATCAGCCAGAGCTGGCCATATGAACCTGCCTAACTCAAGGGAGCTGGCGTGGGGATCTTCCTGTGTTCCCAGGAAGAGAACAAGATGTGGGTAAACTCTAGCAATCTCTGCCATGTGTGGCCATTAAAAGTGCTATAGGTCTTTATTTATTAACACAAAAGGATGTCTACAATACATTATGTAGGGAGAAAAAACATGCTTTTGATAATTCATTTGTTTAGGGGGTGGGGATAAAAGCACAGACAGGAAAAATATGCAAATATATATGTCTAGATACAAATTGAAAAAATATGGAAGGATTTATATACTACAAGTTAATAGTAATTGTTTTTGAGTGATGGGATTATGGATACCTGAGTCTGTTTCAAACTCAAATTTAGATGATAGCATGTATCTCCATAAAACATAGTAACTAACACCTTGATCACATTAAAATTTATACTTCACATGAACTATTCTGGCTTATTTAATCCTCTCAATAACTCTGACATAAAGATCTTATTATCTCCATTTAACATGTGAGAATCTAACTCAGAATTTAAGTGGCTCACCCAAGATTAGTGAGTAAGTAGGGTTGCAAGGGTTTACCAGCTCCAAATACCATGCTCCTTTTTAATTTTTTAATAAATGTGATAATTTATTGGATCCTGATGAAATGTTTTTCATTCTAGCAGACTATGGCTTCCAGAATTCTGGCCATGCAGATCATGGTCTGGGTCTGAGATTACTCAGATGTATTTTTTAAATAAAATAAACAAATGTGGGGTTTAGGAAGACCTTCTTGCCACTTTTCCCTTCATATTTACTCCTTGCCTCGTGAACCTCCTTCCTCCTTGATTTCTTTCTCTCTTTGTAGATAGTTCTTCGAGAAACAATGAGGCCCTCCTCTGCATTCTCTTTAACTTTACTGCTGGTTCTCTGCTCTGTGCCTGCACCCATTCCGTTTGTTCTACTTTCTGTTCATGAAAGGGTACCACTTTGTTCATCTAAGGAGTTTTCCCGGATTCAACTCATCCCAAGCTGACCTTTTGATGATTTTGGATTCCCTCAGAATCTTTGCATGCGTAATCCTGCTTTATCACATCTGTGCTGGTATTCCCACATGGACAACACGCATTGGTTTCCAACTAAGCTTCTGGAAGGCAAAGACTATTCTTTGCCCTTCGCTTCTTTGATATTTCATAGTATGGCAACCATCGACATGCATCACCTGATCTCCTTCATGAGAAATGGCTGTAGAAAGCATAGCTAATTGGCAGCCCCAGCCGCCACCCCTCTGGAGGTACTGCCACACTCGTGGT